AAAAAGAAAATAAAACAGGTGATAATTAGGTCAGGTTTGGCCTCCCTCTGGACCTCACCGTGTACAACTGTCAATTTGAAATAATTTTGTTTAGGAGGGATGTATTCTGATCAAGCACTGAGAGAATTAGCAGTCTTAAAGTATTATATGGTTTATCTTTATTTTATTTATTCGTTTATTTGATAGGGACAAGTATGTTTCATGAAACATGTCACACACTACAACATTTTTAGCTATAAGGCTAATTCTCATTGGCCTGTCCCCAGTTAGGCTTTTGCACAAAACACAGAGGAGAGGATCTGTTTCATTAGCAGAGGAAATCTCCTCTTTAGAAAATAAAACAGGTGATAATTAGGTCAGGTTTGGCCTCCCTCTGGACTTCACCGTGTACAACTTTCAATTTGAAATCATTTTGTTTAGGAGGGATGTATTCTGATCAAGCACTGAGAGAATTAGCAGTCTAAAAGTATTATATGGTTTATTTCTATTTCATTTATTCGATAGGGACAAGTATGTTTCATGAAACATGTCACACACTACAACATTTTTAGCTATAAGGCTAATTCTCATTGGCCTGTCCCCAGTTAGGCTTTTACACAAAACACAGTGACTGTACACAACACAAGGCACAACAAAAACAAATTACACACTAAAACATCACAGATACAAGATCAGGTCAGTTAGATTATTAATGTCCACATGTCTGACCTCGCAATAAAAAGTCTACTTGCTCCACTTAGGCGGGTTTGAGTGGACAACAACAATATTCAAGCGGCCCTAGACACAAGACACGAATCCATTTCTGGAGTTATGTAATGGTCAGACGGACACAAGAGGGTCAGGGGCACTGAATGAAACGTCCTCAGCCGTCTCCATCCTGCTCCTGTCGACCCTTTAAATGAAGACCCGGACCGGGTATGAGGATTCAGCACACATGGGCTGGAAATCAATCCGTTACAGCCCCGTGCTGCTTAGGAACAGGATGCGTGGCGTTGTAAAAAAAAGAAAAAAAAGAAAATTTGTCTGACGCGGACGCTCTGTCAGGCCCAGAATGGGCCCCCATGATTCAGCATCTTCCTCGCCCCATTAGAGCTCAGTGAACAATCACAGCCAGCTCCGTTCCTGCCTGACCTCCACTAAATAATACATGTAAACATTTACCCCACCCCAATGCAGACACCAGCACAGGCCAGCACACTCCCTCTGCCTCCTGTGGATACTTGAAACGTTTAAAGTAAGCCACCGATGCCAAGATGCATAGCTTTACATCTCATGTTTCAAGGTTTACTGATCAGTGTGTGATGCCCTGATGTTTTGGTGGTTCTCTGTGCATCTCAGAGTCTTCTCCTCCTAAAATAGTCCCTTTAAGACAGACATTAGTGCACAAACCTGGGGAAGACGTAAATTAATCCTGCATGCAATGCTCGCTCCAGAGGATTTAGGAGCAGAGTGGAGCTGTGATGACAGATCTGCCAGAACTTTTTAGAAAGAGCTCAGGTCGCAGAAAAAACCCTCCTCATTTAGCAAAAAACCCACCAAATATAGAAAGGAAGAAGAAAAAGAAAAAGACGCGCGGGGAGGTGAAACCATGTTGCAATGAGTGCATGTTAAAAGAATAATAAGTATCTTGCAAAGATTAAAAGCATTTCACAGATTCGTCGACTGCTTCCAGCTCGGACCACATTGTCCAGCTTCCAAACATCCCTCTTACCTCAAGACGTGTGCTGAAGTCAGTTCAAGTGGGACTCAAGTTTTCCTTCTTTGTGAGGCTCGGCTGCACACATGCACACACACACACACACACACACACAGACCCACACACGCGCACAGACACACGCAGCCACGTAAAATGACTAAATCTCTATTTTAATTTCCAGCATTCCCACAAACAAAACAAAAAAATCACGCGCTCTCTTTCTTTTCTCCGGCCGCGCGCCTCCGGACAAAACTCCCAAGAAAAGCTCCAAGTCCGCGGCGTCTTTAATCCGAGCGTGTTCGCTCCGCGGATGTCATTAAAAAAAAGTAGTCCTCCCCAGCTTTGTGTCGCTGAAAACTCCTCTTTGCCTCGCTAATCACAGCGGCCACTCAGACGCGCAACAGTGCGCGTTCACGGGTGATTATGGGCGGAGGGAAAATCCAGAGGGCGGACGGACGTCCTCCGTCTGGCGGAGTGATACCAGGAAGTTAACTCAACATAAAACCGGCAGTGACACACCACTACCGAAGTTTTAGGTGGCGGATTCAAATCTTTATCTCATCATTGAATTTATAAATGAGTTTAAAGGAAATTTTAGGTTGTCTTTATAAACGTTTCCCCGTCTTTTTCCTTCCGTAAGCCTACATTATGAGCTGTTATAACTTTCCAGGTTACTCTTTCAGTAAAGCAGAGCGGCGAGTACCCGGATGTGAGCGACCAATCAGATGTGGACGTTTGACTTCCTCCATTGTCGCAAATTGTTTACGTTCTTGTCCAGAAGCGGTTTACGTTAGTCATAGCAATGAGGGACAACACCGCAGTGTTCGTGGTACTTGTTTGTTGAATGTGACTTTTACAGGTAGGGTTTTAATGTGGCCGTGCACGGTGGGGGTTTTTCGGGTAACCTGAGCGGTTTGTGGAACGGTAAAGTAACGGTTAGCTAACGGAAACCTGTCGGCGGTTGGTTGAACCGTTGGAACTGTTGGATCATATTCACGCATTGCAGTGTTGTTATTCCGCAGAGCATATTTGGCCCTAAAGAGGCTCGTTTGCATACCAGAAAACAGCACAGTCTCTTAAAATACATACTAATATACGAAGAAAGAGCACTGTAACATGTTGTGTGTTCTTTTTGCCACTAGTGACAGTAGACACAAACTGGGGTCTGGAAAGCTTTTCACTTTCTGCAAAGTGATCGGACGAGATTCAACTTTAATACGGTTTTACTGATGTTCTGTTCAAGCATTTTGACGACCTTTCACAGAAAATTCAGCAGTGATTAGACGCTATGTAAAAGGGAAAATGTCATTTCGAAACTGAAACAAGAAAAACAAAAACACTACAAATTCTATTATTTTTCAGATCAGAAAGCCATCTAGGACCACAGAAGTATTCTAATAAAACCTCCATTACACACAGTTTATTTAAAGTGACATTTATTGCAGCTTTGCAAAGAACACAAAGTAATTTACAAAAGTATACTACTATAAAGAAGTTTTAAAAAATAGCTTTAATGCATTTGTTTTGTTTTTTTGTCTTTAAACCCTGCCAAAATGATCCAGTATGTTTACCTGTGGAAAATTAATTGATTTTTTTAATTTAATTTTTTTAAAATGTTGATGGAATTGACATGAATTTAACCCTTGTGTGTGTGTGTGTGTAGGGGGGGGGTCAGTTCATAGCCCTGGATTCACTGATTGACACAAGGGTCAAGAATTGATTCTTATACTGCAAACAAACAATGATTAGCATAAAACTATGTTGATCATCTTAAGGGATTCTCAGTAGTGTTCAGAGGAAGTTTTTCCTTCCCTGTGTCTGCTAGTGCTGCTCTTGGTGGGAATTGTTGTTCTTCTGTAAATAACTTCAGAGTAGGGTCAGACCTGCTCTGTTTGGAAAGCTGTGAGATACCTGTTGTTGTGATGTGGCAATATATAAATAAAATTAAATCGAAACTGAATAGAGCTGTGTGTTGCAGACTCTGCCAGCTGGAGGATGGACCGAGTATAAAGAAGTTTAAAAATAGCTTTACGTTATTTGTTTTGTTTTTTGGCTTAGAACCCTTGCCAAATTATCCAGTATGTTTACCTGTGGAAAATTATTTTAATGTTTTAATTGTTTTAATTGTTTTTTTTTAATGAAGTTTTTGCTTGTCTGTGTCTCCTAGTGCTGCTCTAGGTGGTAACTGTTGGGTTTCTGTAATTAACTTCAGAGTAGGGTCTGTGAGAATTGAGATACCTGTTATTGTGATGTGGCGCTATATAAATAAAATTTAATTTAAACTGAATAGAGCTTATCTGTCCCCCTGTGTGTTGCAAACTGTTTGCCTGCTGGAGGATGGACCAAGTATAAAGAGTTTAAAAAATAGCTTTACGTTATTTGTTTTGTCTTTTGTCTTTAAACCCTGCCAAATTATCTAGTATGTTTACCTGTGGCGTTTCATTTGATTAAAAAATATATATATTTTTAATGTTGATGGAATTGACATGAATTTAACCCTTGTGTGTGTGGGGTCAGTTCATAGCCCTGGATTCACTGAATGACAAAGGTCAAGAATTTATTCTTATGCTGCAAACAAACAATGATTCGCATAAATCTATGTTGGTCATCTTTGGGGATTCTCAGTGTTGTTCAGAGGAAGTTTTTCCTTCCCTGTGTCTCCTAGTGCTTGCTCTTGGTGGTAACTGTTGGGCTTCTGTAATTAACTTCAGAGTCGGTCTGTTTGGAAAGCTGTGAGATACCTGTTGTTGTGATGTGGCAATATATAAATAAAATTGAATTTAAATTTAATAGAGCTGAAATTTAACTCATTGACTGCCAGCCATTTTCAGCACAGAGAGTCCCATACTGCCAGAGTTTTTTTAGCATTTTGACTGATTTTTCAAGAGCCACAGAATAGTTTGTGCTATGACTATGTAAACACCAAACACACCAAAAGAAAGAGTAGACTCTCTTCTTTCATCAGGAAAATTTTTTTGTTTCTACCTTATTCCGTTCTTCCTCGACTTGCGTCTCACCGGCGACATGTTCTCTCATATTGAACCATTACCTTTTTCTTATTTGCCTACAGTCTATGCTCATCTCCCATCAAAAGTGTTACTGCCACCTAGAGGGTCAATTTGTTACTACATACTCTGTCTGGAAGCCTGATATTTACGGACAAGCTTTAGCAGATCGTCCCCCAGCCACTCTCGTTGAAAAACATAAAAGACGTCTATAGACGTTTTTGGCAGCCAATGAGTTAATCTAAACTGAATAGAGCTGATCTGCCCCCCTGTGTGTTTCAGACTCTTCCTGCTGGAGGATGGACCCCGTGGTGCTGAGCTTCCAGGACAGCCTTCTGCGGCGCTCCGACGTGTCCCTGCTGGAGGGCCCTCACTGGCTCAACGACCAGGTCATCGGCTTCGCCTTCGAGTATTTCGCCGCCGAGCGCTTCAAAGCCCTGGGGGCCTCGGCCGCCTTCATCAGCCCGGAGGTCACTCAGTTCATCAAGTGCGCGTCCTGCCCCGGGGAGCTGGCGCTCTTCCTGGAGTCTCTGGGCCTGGCGTCGCGCCGCTGGGTTTTCCTCGCCGTCAACGACAACTCGGACCGGTCGGCGGGCGGCTCGCACTGGAGCCTGCTGCTGTTCCACCGCGCCGCGCACCGCTTCGCCCACTACGACTCCCAGAACGGCAGCAACTCGCTGCACGCCCGCCGCATCGCCGCGAGGCTGGAGCCCTTCCTGGGGGCGGCGGGGGCGGGGCCGGGGGGGGGGCGGCCGCCAGTGTTCGTGGAGGAGCCCTGCCCCCCCCCAGCAGAACAGCTACGACTGCGGCATGTACGTGATCTGCATCGCCGAGGCGCTGTGCCAGGAGCTAAGGATGGAGGCGGAGCCTAGACTCCCCCCGCAGGTCATCACCCCGGGATACATCAGCGGGAAAAGGGCCGAGTGGCGCCGGCTGGTCCAGAGCCTGGCTCAGGACGGCCTACGCTAACGCATTTCCGCTCTATTCTATTCTCGCATACCGTATCCAGAAAAGCCTGGAAAACCCTCTTCCAACACCCAATAAAACGCATTTCCGCTCTATTCTATTCCTGCACACCGTATGCAGAAAAGCCTGGAAAACCCTCCTCCAACACCCAATGGAAAACCCTCAATTAAACTCATTTCTGCTCTATTCTATTCTCGCACACCGTATCCAGAAAAGCCGGAAAACCCTCCTCCAACACCCAATGGAAAACCCTCAATTAAACGCATTTCCGCTCTATTCTATTCTCGCA